TTTTGAAAACATTGGACATTAGACATCCATAGACATTAGCGCCGGAAATGCAACATAACAATGAATTTTTGACGAGCGATGTTAGAGAAATGAGGTTTTGAAGAATAGAATAAGTAATGTCACATGACCATTTCAGTACGATGTGCGGTATGCGTTCAAGGACATTTCAAATTCTTTCCTTCATCTTTGATTTTTTCTTTGTTAAATTAAAGAATGATTTTAGGCTGAATGTTCAGTAAGAGAACAAAAAAGTTAAGCAATGATTTTGAGATAAATATTTCATAGTAACAGAATAGGAATTAAATAATGAATTTAAATTGAATATTCAATAGGGCAGAATAAATATTGAAATAATAATAATAATAATAATAATAATAATAAAAGATTGAATATTCGACAATGGAAGGGAAATTAAATAATTACTTTAATGAAATGAAAATTAAGTATTGATTTTTAATTGTGTATTCAATTAAAAATTAGAAATTAAATATTTAATAAATGAGTTTGAATTTTAGATTAAAATTTCGGTATAAAATTAGAAGAAATAATAATAATTATGGATTGAATATTTAATAAAAGGAATCGAATAATAGTTGTATAATTTAAAAACAAGAATTCATTTCTCACATAATATTTAACTTGAAATGAAATGAAATTCTCTAACAATACGTTTTTTTCACTTCCAATTTGAATATTTCGAATTAATTTTTTAATTTATATTTTTTTGTTTTAAAGTAATAAATTTAGGATAAATAAAGATTACGAATGAAATGAAATCGATTGATTATGTACGATTTGGAAGAAAGTGTTCGATGTATTTATTGGCTTTTATAATATTTGAAATAAAAGAATAAAGCCAAAGGCTAATGTTTTGTTTTAAATTTGCTATCTGTCCAGTATGGTTGGTCAGTTTTATAGCAAATGGCTCTTATGGTATGTTACCATTTCTCACCTTTTCTTTTATTCTTTATTTATAAATTTTAAACCTAAATTTTAATTAATTAAAAGAAGAAAATAATTTACTTAAACTAATCAATAATTTCTTTTTATAATTTTTATTAATTATTTAAAAATTTAAATTTCAATTAAATAAATAATAACAAATAAGCTAAAAGTGTGAATTAAAAATTACAAAATTTAAATGAATTATAGTATTTAAATTGAACATTTCATAAATATTTAATATTATTTTTGCTATTTTTACTACCAAATAAATAATTTTATAATTTATGGAAATGAATGATAATTTTAATTGAAATGACAATTTGATAATAATATTGCAATTTTTTTAAATGAATGATAATTTGATAATTTTTGAAAATTTATGCAAATTTGTTAATTAGGAATTTCGTTCTTTTTTCCTTTAACAAATACATAAATTATTGTATAATTAATTTTTAGTTAATTCAATTAATCAAATTTTCATTTTATAGTTAAATTTAGGAGAATTGTTTCTATTTTCATTTTTGCTTTTTTTAAAACGAAAACGAAATGATATTTGATTGGATGTGTTAACCATTTGTTGACAGCCAATTTAATTATTCGAAGTTGAAATGACAATGAAAAGGATCGTAAATTAGTATGCGACAGACAGACAGAGTGTTTATTTCATCATTTTCTTCATCATTTAAATCATAAAATTGCAATTTCATTTTAAACAGAAAATGAAAACTTTTGAGAAGGAAAAAAGAAAGGGGAAGAGATATATGACAAAGATTATGCTTTTATTTCTTTCTTAAAAGTATTAATTAATTACTTATCATTTAGAAAATACTGGTCGTAATTAATAATTCTGCAAGAGAAATGAATTATCCAAACAATTTAATTAATTTATTCATTTAAAAATTAATCGATTTAATTTTTGATAATAATTTTTTGGAAAATATTTTGAAAGAAATATCTGAGAATTATTATTATTATTATTGCTATTATTAATAATAATATATAAAATCAAATTAATTTACAAATAAAATAAATTTTTAAAGAAAAAATTAAGTAATTCATTATAAATTAATTCATTTACTTCTTTACAATAATTCTTAAGGAATATTTCTAATAAATTTATAATTTTTTCTTTAATTTTAAAGATTTATAATATTTCATATAGTCTGAAGAAACAAACAAAATTTGAAATATAAAGTGAGGAAATTATTATTCATTCCTAATGTGTTTGTTTATGAAATTGATGTAAAGGCGAAAAGAGATTGATAATATATTATCATTGTTATCAATAATGATAATATACGATCGTTTCAATCTTACCTGAAAAAATAAGAGAAAAAAATTGAGATTTTCAATTCAATCAATTTATTTTATAAGCATTAAACTTTTCCTTTTTAACCTTAAAATTTTAAATTTATTATAAAATTTAAAAAGATAAATGGAAATTTCATTATAGGTTACATATCACGAACACGTGTATCGGCCGTTGAAATTTGGCGCAATGATAGTAATAATGGTGAAGTACAAATAGCGCATGGAATCAATAGTTGGCCAGCCTTACTCGAACAACTTAATGGTAATATTGTTTTAGTATTATAGCCAAAGTATAAAGAGAAGGATAAAATATGAAAATGAAAAACAAACGATATTTTAAAAAATTACAAAACTTAATTGGTAAAATATTACATAAAATGTTTAATTATAAAATTTCATTTTTAATTATTAAAGTTTAAAATTTTATAGAAATTATAAATTATTAATCAATGAAGTAATTATAAAATAAATAAGTAAACAATAATTTTTATTTATAAAAAAAGTTCTTAAAATAATCGATAACTATAAAATATTCGTATAATTAAAATATAAAAAATAAATTAGTATAGTAAAAAAAAGGAAGAAATAAATTTTAATTTGTCGTATCTTTTAAATTACAATATTGATTTCACTTTTAAATTATTAGCAATAAATAAAATTTGTTAATAAATAATTTATATGAAATAATTAAAAAATAAATTTAATTATGATTACTTACTTGAATTCATTTAATAATTCGAATTTAATAATTTTACAAATTTTTGTTTGTTTTAAAAAATTAGAATTATTCGAATATTTTAAACTAAATATTATAAAATGTATTAATTTATGACGCTTATTTCATAAATCAGTGATAAGGAATTAACGAATCATTCCATTACTTTCTATCGTTGAAAATTTCGCTAATGATATAATTAATGAGAAAATTTTAGTAGTAACATATGGCTATTATGATATTAGGATATGTAATAAATTTGCTAATTAATATTAGCAAATTTGATTTATTAGTATGAAAATTTTGGGCGAGCTAAAAATTCATTTTGCATTCGAATAAAATTATTTATATTGTTGGAAATTAAAATAAAAATTATAATGGAATGATTGGAATATAATATTATTAATCGACATGAATTATAATATTATACTCATATATGAATGATACATATATTTGTATTCTAATTACTAATAACAATAAATAATCCAATTAATATGACAAAGCTAATTTCCTCACTTCCATATTGTTCTAATTTATAAGCTTTCAGCTTATATTAAAATTGAATGAAATCAAAAGTTGGTAATTAAAATGCTTAATCATTTGAAATAAAAAGAATTGTTTAATTTAAAAAATTCAAAAAGAAATTTGCTAACACAAATTTTTAAATTAAAATATAAAACAAAAAGTTTCCATTTTAAATCGATAAATAATTCTTCAAAATTATTATTTATTTTAATTTAAAAATTTCATTTTCATTTTTTAATTTATATAATTCAATTTAAGAAAAGAAAATTATTCTGTGAATAAATGATATGTCATATTATATAAAGCAGATTGTCTTCATTATAACATAGTTTAATTTATTCCAATAAAACAATTCAGTAATAAGCTAGTAGATATGTCCATCTGACAGATTGATTATCATTATGAATTGTAATTTAAAAAATTAAAAAAAATGTCTGAAACTTTTTTTAGGACCGATTTTGGAACGAAGTACGATGATCGAAGGTGATGTATTCCTGTATCATCAACGAAAGCATCATAATCGAGCGATACCATTAATGAGCGCACCGTTGAAAATTGCCGATCGTATCACATTTAAAGAATGGCTTCGAGAAGTTGCAAAATTGCGAAAAAGTTTAATTCCCTTTTTTTCAACAACTTTGAAATCTTTTTTGTTAAAATCTGTTAATTATATTTAAATTTTAATCAATTAATTAATTAATTTCACAACGATTGGCTAAAATTTTTGCTATTTTGGATTAATTTTTTTGAATAATAACAAATTTTATAGACGTAAAGGAAATATTTTTGTCTTTAAATACATTTGTAATGGAAATACGATTTTAGTTAATAATTATAGTTCTAACGATAAGATTAATTATTGTTGAAGATTTATAATAATTATAATCAATTGATCAGTTATCTTTTGACTAGGGTTATTGACAGTTTTAGAAAGGTCATTAAATTCTGTTTTCTATTTTCGGACTACTCAAACCTGATGAAATTAATTGTCAACAAAACGTTGATTGCATCAGAGAATACTATCATTTTTATATGTAAATGATCAGAAATTGGCTTGAATATATAATTGAAATAAAGACAAAAGTAATTTAATAATTAAAAAAAGGTTTTCGATAGTTTTCCTATTCTTGCGAAATTATACTTTTTTATATATTTGCTACCAATTACATATTAATTAATTAAAGGCATATTTGTATTACTTAAAAGTTAACCGTATTTTAGCATATCTTTCCATTAATTTATTCTTTCTTACATAAAATCGCTCGTTTAAATTAAAATACGAATCTTATTCACAAAAATATAATGTAATTTTTAATGGAATAATCAAAATTAGCTAATTACTGCAACAATTAAGCATTTTGTAGCAATGAATTCCAAAAATATAATTTAAATTTTAATATCAAAAACTAAAACTTTTTCAATGCAAAAAAATTGAACTATTTCTTGAAAAAAAGGAACGAATAAAACAAAGATAACGATAAGATAATGGTATTTCAGTAATTAAAATTAATGTTCGATCGACAGCAGCAGTTCGTCCAGTATTGCAATATTTATTCGCCGCAAGTAATGAAATTTCTTCACCTGTTGTATTACATGCTAATGTCTTTCGATCACCCCGAAGTAACGAAGTAATATAATCATTATCAGATTATTAATTGATAATAAATTTCATATTTATAATTTTAAATAATGCAAATAGTCATAACGGAATGAAAAGTTTAATTAGGCTAATTTGTTATTATCATAAGCAATAAAATTGTCACAGATAAAAAATTTATAAATTGCATGTAATTTGAAATGATAAAAAATTATCATAATATGATTAGAAAATTATCTAATTTGAAATTACGGTCAGATTATTAGTATTGTTATTATTTATTATTATTAATAATAATTATTAATAACCATTATTTATTAAAGATACCGGTTGATGCAGTTGAATTTATCGATAGTACTAAAGAATACTTTCCGGATGCAACTCTTTCAATTGGTTGGACAAAAAATAATCTATCGGAATTGACAGTTCCACAAATGAAGTATGCTTTTGCATCCTTAATTTCACATTTTTAATTAATTAATGATTAACTTAAATGTAGGTCAAAAGGAAAAATTAATAATAATTGAAATATTCAGACAATAAAAGATTCAAGTTAAATTTTCGAATTAATTTGTCCTCATATAATAATTCACTGACGTGTTTTAACTATTATAAAACATTTTCAAATCTAACTTGACAATATTTAGTATTGGTTGGCCTGAGTTATTTCATGTATTAGCACTTGTAAAAGAGGTCGATCAACCGCTTGTATTAACAATTCGACTTAGTACGGTAAGTTGCAAAGATATAAAATTATCTTAGCAAATTATGTTCTTAAAAGAAGACTTCACTTCTTAGGCCCACAAAATCTTGCACTAATCTGATCGATCGTTAAAAAATAAGCCTTATTATTTTCCAATCAATCGTTATTGATAATTCATTTTCTTTCTCAACAAATATTTGTTGAGATTCGAGATAAATTATGTTAAATTAATTCAAATTAAATTTAATTATCAAATTAAAAATATTTACTTATCGACCAGTCTTTTTTTGATAATCAATGATATCATTTTTTTTGGTCTATAAATATCACAGATTAATGTGATATTAAGGTAGGAAAGCCTTACCCTTATAATAATCTTTTATTCAAAAAAACTTTTTATTCTTTTTTGTTATCTTTTCAAGGCTGCCTGTTCAACTAAACAAGTTGAATTTATTTTGGGCATACGATCAACAATTTCCGCATTAATTTGGAGTGATAAAATGGATTTAATAAATGATTGGTATGAAATAATTAACCTTCGATCTGGCCTATATTCCAAACGTTTAGTATTCGATTTAGATGATAAACATCGAAGTATTATGAAAATGCTTCCATATTCCATCGTTGTGGTCAGTCGTTGCATCGTTAAATTTATTCAAATTAATAAGCTTGCTAATAAATTCATTAATTATACAAACTTTCATATCAAATGAATAATTTGTTAATTAATCGGTAATAATTATATAATTTTTTACATTAATTTTGAAATAATAGTATTAGTTAATTAAGTAAACAATGCAATAACAATTAGTTATAAATTATCCGGTAATTAATGTAAATAATTAATTTGTCACCTCGAGAAATAAAAAAAGTTATTCGAGTTTAAATTTCAAAGTTGAATATTGAACTTTGTAAATATAGCATTTTAAGAGTGAATCAGAATTTAATCGAAGCCATTGGAATTTGATAGAATTTCCATCTGTTTTTGATCACTCATCTGGAGCCATAGTAAGTGATGAAGGTATTGCATTTCTTGGATGGCCAACTGCATTTCTGATCTCATTGATGCGACCATTAGTATTTCCGGATATTCAACGGATAACTGCTAAGGTTTTCTCTTGCTATTTATACTCCTAAATTCCTAATTTTAATTAATTTAAAATTAACACTTTTTGATTTTTTCATTTGACTTCAAATTCAGTTCCAATTAACATTTGATAGAATTTAATTTAAAATAGACTAAATTGACAACGAAAGAATCAAATAATTGTTAATAATACAATTTATAATAAAATGTTGTTTTATAAATAAAAATATTTGAATTTATACAATTAATATTTAATTAATAATTATTTTATATTTAATACTATAATTTCTGCTTATTTCATTTTTCTGTAATATTTTTCCAACATTTACAAAAAATTTTTCATTATTTGAACAAAGCTAAGAAGACATTTCAAAAGTTTTTTTAATTAATATAATTGATAATTTTGTAATGTTTTAATTTCAAATTAATTTAAAATTTAATTTTAATTTTCTTACTGCAACTTATCAAATTTCAGCTAATATTTGTAAAAAAGAAGCGAAATATTAATGATAATTGGTTGAAGAACAGTGGTTTTGTGATATATCTGTTGGAGAAAGTGCTCGATCTTCAATCACCTGAAATTACTACAGGTATAAAGGTAACCATTACCAGTGTTTTTAATTTTTTTCTTAAATTTTAATTTATTAATTTGTTGCATATTAATTATTTGTGATAATTTTATCTTCAAAATACATTTAAATATTTGAAAATATTCATAATATATTTCAAAAATTCATATTATTTTTGTAAAAGCTTTAATTGTTTTTGTTTTGATATCAATTAATTGTTCATTTAATTATATTAAATATTTAATTTGGCAAGAAATTTGTTAAACTTTTGTTTGAAATATTAAATTTTCAAAATTTTCATATTCTATGAAATTTTTTAAAGTAAAATTGCTATACCTTTTTTGGTGCTTACATTCTTAATGCAATTAAAAACTTAATCAATCCTTATTATCAGTTATAATTGTAATTGCAATAATTCAGTTTTAAAATTTTAAGATATTTATTGGTCATAATGGTCGTCTGTCAATTGAGAATCGAGGGAAGCGACAAAATTATTACAATATGAAAGCAGCAGGACAAGTGCGCCATGATCATAGCTGCTACGATATCGAACTTCTAGATAGGTTCGTTATCTTGTTTTACTTTATTAAAATAATTTTAAAACTGAATAGTTTTTCATTCAATATTCATTTGATATTTCGTAGTCAATAGTCCCATTCGATATTTCGTAATGTTAGGAGATATTAATTAAATTTTATTTTCAGAGGTTGGCAAGTAGAGCTTACTGTTGGAGGAAATAATTGTGACGATGGAAAGTTGGTAAATCCAACAAAAATTACATTAGAAACATCATTAACAAAGTAAAGCTGAAATTATTCGAAAATTTTATTTTAAGCAAATCATTCTGTAATAATTTCAAAATTACAAAAATGATAAAAAATAATTTCAAAATTTTTGAATTATGAAATTTTACATTTACTAAATTACAAAAAAACCTTACAGTATCTTTGCATTTTCCTGAAATTTGCATCAAAATTTAAATCACGTGTATAAATTTCAGGACGCGGCACTTACGTAATGTGATTGTTTCGAAAACAGGCGATGGAAATTTAGACTTGATTGTACGTGAATTGAAACATTCCTCTTCAAATCGACCTCAGCTTTATTTGTTCTTCTTATTCCTCATGTTTAGTATTGTTAGGATTTTCAAATAATTTTCAACTTTCTCTTTGCTTCTCTTTTAATTATTTAATTATCCTCCTAATTGTAAATGTAAATTATAAAACAAAGGAGAAGAAAGAGAAAAGGAAAAATCGAAACTTTATATTTTAGTTTTATAAGAGAGAGTTTCCATTTTTCTACTCAAAATTTTATCATTTTTAATTTATTCAAAAGAAAGAATTCTGTTTATTAAACAATGATTAGCTATCATTACTGATAAGAGAGAATTTATGAATTTTCTGAAATTTGTTTAATTTATTTTTATTTCTTTTGTTTGAAATCGTTTTTTTCTTCTTTAATTTATTTTGTTAATATTTATAATATCTCTAATTTTAATCAAATAAATTTAAATTAATTATTGAATTATGGTTTAAGGAATTTCAGTATGTATACAACGATATTAATGTAAAATGCATAATTTGTGCTGCTAATTATACAAATATAACAAAGCTTTTCAGCATATGATTGCTCATTTTGAGTTTTAAATTTCATTTGCAAATTATAAATCTCACTTTTTTTAACTTAAGACTTCAAAAACAAATTTGAAATAATAAAGTTTTACTTATAAGTTGCAAATAAAGTAAAACAATTCTAAAATCAATAAGACATACACAGATTTATTTCAATTATTTAATTAGCAATCTACATTATATCAATGACAATCAATGCTAAAATGCTTTCAATAAATTCATGTTAACAGATGGCTAATAGGAATTTGGAAGAGAAATTGTGGCTAAGTAATCGAGTAATCTTAACTGACCAACTGACCAAAACAATCATCCTTGTCATCAAATACATGAAATATGTCAATTATTTACAAATAATTAATGAAATGTTTTCGTTGTATTCGCGTAAATGGCGTATGTACACATAAACGAATTCACTAAAGCATATCGATGTCAAATTTAGATTATAATTTAATTTTAACACCATCAAATAATCAATGATTTTTAAACATTCCCATTTTGGGTGTAATTAACATTGAAACAAACTAAATGAGAGAGGGAAACAAATTAAAAGTCAGATATAAATTTGCATTTTTCCTATCACAATCAATTTCAAATCAAATCAATTATTTTAATAGCAAATAAACAAAATTATTTTTTGGGTTAAATAAAAGAGAGCAAAAATTTGATAACAAATTGATTGGTACTTGAGAATTGAACCTTTTCATATTCATTCAGCAAATAAACAACAAACAATTTTATTAACAAAAATTTCAAAAAACAATTTTACTGAGAAAAATAAAATGGAAATATATCATTTGGTTTATAATTGACAAACGTTGTTGTTTGATATTCAATTAATTCAATTAATGAAAATATGAAACGAATTTTTTTTTGTCATTCATTAAATGCTTTCTTCAATTGTTGAAAATTTTCAACGTTTTCCTGCCTTTCTTTTCTTCTCTCATATCACAGAAATATTTATAATATTGTAAGATTTTGTTCTAATCTTTTCTTACTAAATCTTTTTGATAATCTGAACAAAAATTGTTAGATATTCTATAAAATTCATAAAACTTATTTATAATTATAATATCCATAAAATTTTGAATTGAAAAATTATTTCTTAAAATCTGAAAGAAACGGTTTGAAAGCTTTCGTTTCGTTCTTTTCGGTAAACGCTAAATTGAAAAAACTTCAAAGAACAAAATAAAATTATACAAAGAAAAATAAAAATATTATCGGACAATTTTCTTCTGGGAGAGAATTCTTAATCGTTCTAAATGTTATGTCATTTCAGTAAAATTTTCTCAAATAAAATATAAGCAAAAAATGAAGTAAATCGTTTGTTACTAAATAACAGAATGATGGAGTAAATGTAATGAAGTTTGAGCTAACGATATCGGAATGCCTCGTGTGTGATATGCGACAGTGGAAGAAGTGTAGCATTGAATGGTCGGGCATCTATAACACTTTGATAAGGATAGAGTTTTCATGAAAGAACCTTCAGAATCTCATTGATGTTTAGGTCTAATGAGTAAAGGAGAAGTTTGCGGCATTTTTTTCATTGAAAATAAAATAGTAAAATGGAAATCACTGAGAATTTCTTGTAAGTCAACTAGTAAAAAGTCAGCAGCTGTCCGTTTCAAATTTAATAAATTTCAATTTATCAATTAATAAATTATCTTTTTTAATATTATTATCT